TTCCGTGATGCAGTGTCAGCGCCGTCGAGGGCTATCACTGGCAATTGCGCCCGCGACTTGCAGCAGCAGATATCGCTCGCGCCGGTGACATCTTCGTAGGTGACTGGATCAATACCAGCAGCAAGAAGCTGTATCAAAAGGACTTACAAGTTTAGCCGTGGCCGCATGGTTCGGTTGCTGGCTTGCCCACTCATTTCAGTCAGGGCCTGTATTGAGTCCCAAAAGAAGTTTCTTTCCGTAACTCAAGTGTGGTGTCTTTGAACAGTTTTCTTGAGTTACTGCGATTTTATTTAGAATCACATTCGCCCGATGGCAAAACGAGGTGTTTCGACAAAGATTGCGGGTGTGTATTGGGTCCTTTGTCCAGCCCATCCGAAGCGATATTTTTCTTGCGATAATTGACCTCGCTATTGCAGTAGCTATGAAGTCCACGGCAGTTTCCAACGGGTTCTGATATGTAGATTATTTTTTTAATGTACAAAAATACTGCGGATCAAGATGTATTTAGTGAAATTGTAGATATTTTTTGTACGTGCAGTTTTGGCCTTACGTTTACTTTTGAGAAGCCTGAGGAAGGAATTTTTAAATTTTTTTTACATGCCCCTATCATTTTTCGTCGACCACTTGTGCTGGTCACTCTTACCCCGTTCCGAAAAAAAAGTAATATTCGGCGTCGGTTGAACTGTCATCACAAGCATCGGATAAAATTACAAGTCCCAAGCAACATAAACGCTAACTACGGCTCACCCAAATTCCTACGCCGCTCCGACAGACAGCGTCGCCCTCTACATGATGGCGCGTGTTTTCCTCTGTGGCCCTCATTCCCTCCCAGAAGCGGGAAAGGGGAGAGGCAGGATCAACCCTTCCGCCACCTCTCCTCGCATTTGAATCCGCTGTACGTAGACATCAACTCGAAGGAGGGTGAGGCTGCGCCGACGTTCGACAACCAATGAAACTACCGCGTCATCGACGTGAACGGGGAAGGCGGATTTTTCGGCTGAGCGCAGACGCCGCAGTGGCCGCACTGGCCGCACCGGCTCTCGGCGCAAGAATGCAAGCTGGGTCGCATGCATAAATCTGAATGGTATATTGAAGGAAAGCGTACTATCGGGGAAAAATGAAATGCGAACAGAGGAGCGCGTGGCTCGCGGTACAGGCTGCGCCGCCTGGAAGTAAACCTAGGGGCGAGGGTGCGTGGCCTACTTCGATGTGTTCACGCTCCTCGATTGGCGCTCCCCCAGCTTCGGCATTGCGCCTCTCAGTGCACTGAAAGCTGTCACCGCTATCTTTGCCGGCGAGTGCGGCGAGCTTCCTTGCACCGCACGCGCTGAGCCAGCAAAGATAGCGGTGATAGCTTTCAGCGCACTAAGAGGCGCACTGCTGAAGCTTGGGGAGTGCAGATTGAGGGGCGTGAACACCTCAGAGTAGGCCACGCACCCTCGCTCCTAGGCTCACTTCCAGGCGGCGCAGCCTGTACCGCGAGCCACGCGCTCCTCTGTTCGCATTTCATTTTTCCCCGATAGTACATAGACTTATAGTAATATAGAGGGACAGGTCCCATGCATTGGGGCCGCTTAGGGACGGCGGGGCAGAGGCGCGGACACCACGCCCGTGGTTTCGCTGCCTTAACACTTAGCTTCATCCGTTTTATCGCTCGAGAACCTTTCTGGCGTGACAAGCCAAAACCCTTTGTTTTATTGCTTTCATTGTCAGCAGTCTCACGTGTACATTCCTACGTGCCGTCGTGTTGTCACGTGACGCCACCGTGTCACGTGACTTTATGACATCACGTGACTCGCGGTGTCACCTGACGTAATTAAGTCTCGTGGCGTCACTGTGCAACGTAACTTTACATGAAAATGTCAGGTCATTGTGTCAGCTGACGCCCGGTAAAAGGTGACGTGATGTGCAGCGTGACGTGTCAGATTCGTGTCGAGCGGCCTGTCGTCAGCGGCGATACGTGAATGTAGAATGTTTTTTTCGGAGCGCCGAAAATGGCGCGCTTTGATATGTAGCGGACACAGGCGCTTTGATATCTACATGGACACTAACTGCGACAGCAGTTAGTGTCCCACGAACTGCTGTCGCAGTAAAAAAAAATGAACTCTGTTGTGATCATTTGCAGTACAGTCAAACCGCGATACCTGTGACACGTCACTGTGAAGTCGTTTCGCATCGGCTTCGTAGTCACACACTGTGTAGCAGTGGGGTACGAGAACAAAAGTGTTCGGAACAAACTGTGCATATGTGTTTTTAGAGAGAGCGTGCGGTTTGCACAATGTACAACAAAAAACCAAGTTTAGAGTGGCTTATTCAAAGTTTTACAATAGGGGACTCCTACGCTCTGGGGCCACCAAGAAATTGTGGCTCACTACTGCGCATGCGCCGAACCGTAACTACTTCTTGGTTTAGTGCTGCCCATAAGTAACCCAAGGCAAACATGGGGGCGCCCTGCATCGCTCGCTTTAGAAGAAATCCGTCATGGTTGCTACACAATTGGGTACGTTCATAGGCAATAAATGGTGGAGCAGGCCTTTGCATTGCCTTACTTCGCTTCAATCACAAAGTATGACTGATGATATCGCCTTTGCGTTGAGGTCGTAGTCTCACTCTTGCTATTCATAAGCCTGAAGAGACGCGGCAATTGTTGACACAGAAGCGTCGCTCGAATCTATAGTGGCATGTCTTGACTCGATATCGCACATGAACGAAGACAGAAAAGGAACACGTAAGGCGCAGACAAGCGCTGACTCGCAACTCGCTCAAAGACTCAAAAGCGAAAAACTTGACTCGAACAACGTTCCAGAATACAGCACGTTTGATTTTTTGAGCCTTTTACAGTGGGTGTGATGTGCAGAATGGTACCGACACGCTTTCGTGAAATGGAAAAAAATAAAATGATATACATTTAATCTTGATTTCAAACACTTATTGATCTTTGAAAAACGGGAAGATTTGGCTTTACTGTACACGTTATTGGGGACGCAAGCAACAAAAATTGTTTGATAAGCGCAAATATATTCTGTGTTCATATTTTTCACTTAATTAATTTCGGTTGTTGCCACTGCAAGGGAGAAACGCAAGGATGCCACGCTGCGTATTCCAAACCCTATTCTATAAATAATTGCGAGCATGGCTTCCCGACTGACGCCCTATGCATGCGAGCGCGTGCGAAAATGCAGTGATTCGTATTCCACGGGCCACAACGCGCACGCCCTCCGCGCATAAAAAATTCGAATACCCAGAATAAAGCGTCGAAGAACGCGCGTGCAAGAAGCAATTCGCTTTAGAAACGTTACTACTGCTGAGGCCAGCACGTGCGGCGCGTTAAACGCCAATCCCTGCAATCTCCTTGATGCTTGGGTAATAGACCCTTTTCAAAAGTCAGTCCTTTTGTGGCAGTATAGACCCTTCCAGAAAAGGGCTGCTGGCCGGTTTCATTCTCAGTGTTCGTGCGTATCGCGCGTGGATTGCTCGCTTTCCGAAGCGACGCACACGCCCGTGCTGAGCTGTGGAGATCGCACGCTGAGCTGTGGATTTGTAAACACTGGAAAGGTCTATAAAAAGCTCCAGCATTGCCGCTCTAATGGCGGCGATAGGAGATCATGCGCGGCTAAATCAAGCACCATCGATTCCGTGCATCGAAGGTGACGTGAAGCGACCAACATCTTTTCCTTTTTCTGCTCTATGCTTTCAAAGACGTTCGATTTTTCTGGTGTGGAGAAACAGTGTAGTTCCGCCATTAGAGCGTCGGGTCTGGCTCTGCACAAGGTAGGTAGACTGACTTTCGGAAAGGGACTATATTAGCAATAGGTGTATTGCACGGGCTTGTCCGCAGGAGTAGAAAGATGGCGGCGGCCATTAGCCTGGCTTGCGATCGTCTATAAGCCGGCAGCGCGTGTATCGCTGTGCTCGTGTCTCCCTATGGCTTAGAGGCCCCTAATTGTAGGAACCATTTATTCTAAACCTTCCTAATATTGTTGTGTCTTTTCTTTTTGGTTGCGGGCCCGCTTCGCACGCACCGGACCCGTTTTCAATTCCAGCCGGCAGCGGGCGATCATTTTTCACGAATTTGGCAACATCGACGACGGACGCCCTGCATCGCCAGCTGCAACATCCAAGCCATTAATTATAAATGCAACATCAAATATTACAGCATTAACAACGGACATGGTTTCCAGTGGTGGGAAGAACCCATAACAGCTCATAACAGCTATAGCTCTAAAATTTACTGAACTGCACGGAACTAAATTGTGAGTTGTCTATTTTGTTCCGAACACTTTTTTTATGACACTACACTAACAGCGATAGCTTCGACATGTCACGGTGAAGTCGTTGGACATCGGCATAGCGTTCACGCATTTTGGGGCCCGTGGAGGCTAACCCGATGTCCCACGACTTGGCTGTGGCGTGTCGCTACTATGGCGTGTCGCTACTATCGATGTGAGTGTACCGAGAATTAACAAAGAACTATTTTTTTTCTTCTGATTATCACATAGGATGTGGTATAGCTTATGCCGAAATTGCCGTGCCGGGATTTCTAAAAAAAATAACAAAAAAAAAAACCGCAATATTTCTACAAGGACAATAAACTTCCGCCTGGAGGTTATCCGATCCGCCGGCATGTACTCAGAAAAAAAAAGTTCTATCGTACGCATTTCCTTTTCATAGTGGTTATTGAACTTTAATATTGAGAGAGCTTAGGTGTTAAATTTATCTTCAAGCTATACGTAAAGCCAAAACATGTTATACGGAATTCGAAAAGAAAACAAAACAAAAAAAAAAAAAACATTAGTGCACGCCAAATAGCGTTTGTGGGAATAATATTTTTATACTTGAAATTTGTTTATTGCGATTTAGCCAGCTGGATGACAAGTTTTTCTTTTCAGCAAAAAAAGAAAAAAAAAAACATATGGTCTTACCTTAGGCACTTAACTTTGCGCATTGTTATAAATACGTAACATTGTGGCCAGATATATACCGTGTCTGCACGACTACGCATGTTGAAACCTCGAGAGACAATGATTGCGCTCTTCCTCTTTGGGATACTGCTCTTATGTGACAGCCATGCTATTCTGTCTAAAAGTTGCGAAAAAAAGATCGAAGGAGATTGTCCTGATGCCAACAAGGTAAGGAAATGCCATAGATGTAACCATTTTCTAGCGACGTGATGAACATAGTTTATTGTTATATTGGACCGCCGTAGATAAAGGTCCATATATACAAAGGTATGACGTTCGTACGTCCACTTCGAAGGTGAACTCTTCACGTCGCAGTTTGGCGCTAAATTCACCGCAGGCTTAGCAGCCCGACGATGAGTTTGTGGGATTTCCTTTGTTACTACCCGTCTCGGAGGGTGACACAATACACCGATTCTTCAACACATAGTGATTTATTGACTGTACTCGATTGACTCTCCTCCACTTTCCTACTTCCTCACCGCGAACAACAATAGTCACGACTCATATCGCCACACGCCACGACCTGAAAAGCCCCGCCCATACGCTGAGGCCGCCCTTGATCAGCGGCAGAGCGCTGTTCACGCGGCCGATTGCACTTGGTCCCCTAGAAGCAAACAACGCTCGCGACATTTAGCATGCGGGCAACCTAGTCATTCTTGCGTGTAACGTGATCAAATTAACGCGAGCATATTGATTTTTAAAGTCGCTGAATTCTCTCGCATTTGCATCTTGTGAAGATTTGTTGATATTGACGTACCAAGTTTCACGAATGAGGCGCCGTTTAAACCCACATAACGAAATAGTTAAACAATGAATAAAAAAAGCTACCTTCCGGTTGTTTGGTTTTCATGTGGCAAATTTGGGGGTAAATTTACAAACAAGCGCCAGGATTTTGGCTTCACTGCTGGTTCTTCGGTTCATACGTGGCATTTTTGGCTGAAGTCTGGCACTCTGGCAGCTACGTGGCGAGCCGAGCAAACAAAAAAAAAAGCGATGGAAACGACAAAACAAGTATAAGGTTATTCGCATTCATAATCACACTGACTTGACTAAACTAATTCCATAAAACGCACAAAAATTGTTTGGTCTCATAGCCATAGTGACAAGTGTCGGGCTCGATCAGAAAATAAGCTTTATAATGGGGCACCTATGTCAAAATTGCAAAATAAACAAATGCTAGGATTTCATCTTTAATATCGTATTCCAAGTTAATGCACCATTATATTCAGTGAGTCGTTGACTGCAAGTATTTTTACATATTAAGTTTCAATGATGACTAACTGCAGCTTTCCCATGTCTGTAGATTTTAACAGACCTAATAAAAGGGGTAATTAATTTTATATGTTAACCAAAAAAGTACAAAATAGATAAATGAAAAAATTCCTGCGCTTTTATTAAAGTGTAGTATCTGTTCGGAAGCTTTGAACAAATATTATTAATTTGACTTTTCCAGTGCATATTTGTGTGAAAAAGAACACCCAGGTGTTTGTAAGGAGAAACTTGCTGAGCTGTGTATTATCTATGCGCATTGCAGGCCCTCCATAATTTATTTTTCATCAAATGAAATATAGCATAAATAGAAAATACACCGAATGAATCAAACACATAAATGACGAACACAGACACACACAGCTCTTTCAAAGAGCAACGAATATTCATGAGATCCGCATGACCCTACGACCTTGAACTATAAGAAATTGAAAGAAAACGAAAATACTCAAAATATAAAATAAAACCAAAGTTACTCGCAAATTTTAAAATATACCACATTAAAATGATAGGAAAATTATGTAAATTAACCCTTGAAAAGGGGGAAAAGGGAAGAAGAAAAGGAAGGAAGGAAATTAACACCTGCAAAGTGGAAAAAGAAGAAAAGAATGGAAAAGAAGGCAAAATTAACAATTGATCGAAACAAGCTTTTTTACTATAATTCTGGCACTAGAAACTCCAGCGTTTTTGACGATAACACCAAAGAAGACTCAGAGACATTGTTCGCGTTGTATCAGATCTTAACCACTTCTATCCGCCTTTTGCAAGACCCGACTGCGCGTACGCCTATCCCTAACGGCAGTTTTCGGAACCATCGTGGTTGGCGTCGGCTGCAGACCAAAGGTTGCGGACGAGCGAACGCCGAGCGAAGTTTCTCTCTCCAGCCTAATGCCAAGGTCGTGTGGCGCATAGAATTGTTTTTCCCGTTCCACTTCTGGCACCAAGCATTGTTGTTTTCGTTTCCCGTTGGTAAAACGTGACAGGCAGCGCCGAGAAGCTTGGATAAGGGCTGTGAAGCGTCAGTGAGAAGAAGGGAGTCCATGGATGCCGTCATGGTCATCCCGGCTCTGCGGATTGCATTTTTTGCAAGGTACAAATCTAAATAATACGTAGCCCAGCGTGTTCCAGCTTAGCAGGTACTTCTATGCAGGCCAGTGCCGGCGCCGCGTCAGTAGAACTGTGTGCATATTCGTTAAGCGTGCTCGCGTGCGAGAAGGGGTTCATTATGACTTGCTAGTACGGAGCTTGGCATGATATTGCTGCGCGCAGGGCCGAGAAAGCAACGCTCGGTCACGGACTTCTAGAAGGTTCCTGTTTATTCTTGCCCCAGACGTAGCCTCTATCATTCTCCTGCTGTCTCGTTCTAGAAAGTGCGTGTTCATTCTCACCCGAGCGCGCGACGCTCGAACCTTCGTCGCCGAATCTTCGAGATTGTGACGCATTCTAGATAACAGGTCGCCCGCAACCTTGTCTAGTCAGCTTCGCCCCAGTTCATTGTATCTCAAATTGCGTACGTATCCCTCATCTCGGAACTTTTTCCCTTTAGTAGTTTGGCGTTGGAAGCGCGCTCCGCTTTTTTGCATATAACTTGCCAGCTGCGAGTCGGTGGGCAGCTTAGTCGAACGCGGCACTTCCCTCCAGCCGTTTGCCACGGCAAAAAAGCTCCCTGGAGTAAAATCTTGCCCTGGGGGCTGCATTCTGCCCCACAACTAAAAAAAAAAAAAAAAAATAGGCACTACGGAAGATGAAATGCACCTAACAACATGCAGTGTTGTCGGTCGTGGCGTTCAGTCGAGAGCCTTCTGAACTTGGAGGCCAACCATATTGTTTCTCGCCGTGCCCGTGAGATGGCGCCACAGCGCAACGCAAAAGGCGAATTATTTCACGCCCACACTTCTTTCTGTGTGAATCAAACACAGTGATGTTTTCAAAGTTTGGGGTGCAATCGTGGCAGGTACGGGCATACGCAACTATTGGGTGGAATGAGTACGATGATACCTTGGTGACATCTAAATGATGCTCCCTAAGGCGAACATTCAGGCATCTTCCAGTCTGGCCGATGTACTGGCCTCCGCAACTCAATGGAGTCGAATATTTGGCTTCTCTTTACAGTTAACATGCATGTTGGAGTTAATTTTGTTGGGATTAATTTCTGTAACTTTTCCTATTATTTTTATTTGGTATCTTTAAAATTTGTGAGTATTTTCGTTTTATTTTAAATTTCGAGCATTTTCGTTTTCTTTCAATTCTTTGGAGTTCAAGGTCGTAGCGTCATGCGCATCTCATAAATGTTCGTTGCTGATTGAAAGAACTGTGTGTGTCTGTGTTCGTCCTTTACGTGTTTTATTCCTTCTGTGTATTCTGTAGTTTTTCAACGCGCTCCGCTACGTGTACTAGCATATTTATACTTTTTAATGTTAAGGTTGAGCTGATTGCAGGGAGTCGAACCACATTTTTCTATTGGTTCGGCTCAGGGCTGGGTTCACAGCTTTCGGTTTAGTTCCTGGATGCAAAAATGTCGGTTCAAACCGGTTCGAACCGCTAAATTGATCATCTATTTTTGGCGTGTTTCTGGCAATGGGCGCTATATCCGGCGTGAAACGAGCAACTATATAGCTTTTTTATCGTACGTACAGTCCACTTTTATTTTCAAGCGCCAATATCAAGAACTTTTGTTATTTCATTTCGACGCAACAATAAAAGAAAACCCAGATTAACAGAGAACACATCGTGTTTATACTAACCAACATTCATTTGTTTACCTCAATCCCATATATTTCGCCGAAATCAAAAAGGGGCCACGAAATATGGTTGGCCACATAAAATACCCATGATTAGTGCAACTTTACGTCGCACATTTTAAAGTTAAATTGTAGTTGTGCTCTGGAACTAAGAAATTAAATGCAGGGCATAAAATTACGGAACGAGCGTTACGGCGCCATCTATATTGTGAAATATAGCTTAAGAAATACGTTTCGGACTATCTATATTATGACGCCCACTCTACTGAGCTAAAGAAAGCACTATATTTAAAATATTCGCGGAAGCTTTAGGACAAACCCTTTCAGTGTACCTTTCATAGAAACACTGAGTGGTGTTTCTATGATTGCTTTCTTAACCAACATTGTTACATTCAGCACCGTGTTGCAGGCGAAGAATCACACAGAAACGGGTGATAAGACTTTTTCACTCTTATTCATACGCACCTTCGTACCAGATGAAATCTGGTCTAAAATTGCGCGTACCGAAGTAAACATTTTATAATACAAGATAAACTGTCATAGTCTAGCTGTTGGCTTTTTTATAGACAAGATGCCGGCCAATTCAGTTTGCAAATGAGCACCACCCTTTGCTAATTGATAAATTTTTGTTTGACAAATTACATTTTAATGTTCTATTCAACAAGGCAGCTACTTAATTGGCCACTTTCTGTAGGTCTGCATTTGGAATCGTCATAGTTCCGCACGCGCCACCGTGTATACACGGAACTATGACGATTCCAACTGCATGTTTTATGTGATGGACAGAAATTTTATCTGTCTCTGGGCTGGACGAAAACAAAGTATTCTTTGTTTTCGTCCAGCCCAGAGACAGATAAAATTTCTGTCCATCAGATAAAACATGCAGTTCTTCGATATGATTGAGAAGTTATAGATGTGTGAGGAACACAGGTATTAAAATTAACTTGAAAATAAAAAAAATATTAATGCTCTTTCAAATCATAACTACACGTCCATACCGAGAATAAAAACGCCGGAAAAGAGTTGCAAAACATCTTTCAGATAATATCTAGGTGTATTTAGTTATGAATCTCTAAGATGATCGTCCGATTTTACGTTAAATATTCAGTCAGCAAATATATATGTATATATATGTATAAATATTCAGTCAGTAAATAT